TTGATGTGCATACTGTGTTTATGAATATGTACCCTACATATATGTGTGTGTGTGTATGTTATAAATGTTTGATATTTTGTCCCGATTGTATTGCTTGATGTGATGTGTTACAATATTTTTATTTTCTTTTACCAATATCACAAGGAGCCACCCTTAGGTTTATATGGGGTTCCATTGTAAAGCCCTAGGGTGTTGGTAAAGGGTCGTGTTCCACCACAATCTGCTGGTGGATGTGACATTGTGGAGGGATTAAGGCTGTTTAGGGCTACAAGGGCTTTTGTGTATTGTAAGCATATGCTGAGAAAGATTTCACAACTTGGCCAATTCCTCCCAAGAGGATAGACTCTTCATAGTGATTTAGTCAATAATTTAATTTCTCCCATTTTCTGTTGTCTGCCTTTACTAATCACAACCAGTACATTAAGAGACACAAGGTACAGTAAATTTGGTACATTGAATCATTCTGCTGTAAAATAAAGCTGTAATACAGCCTAATATAACCTCTCCCAGTCCCATCATGCTATAATATTTTGCTAGTGTACTAGGAGAAAGAATATCTTCTTTGCTCTGGGAGAAGCATACCTTTTTTTTCAATCCATCCCTTCTCTCAAGATCATGTTTCTTCTAGCAAAATTCCACCATTGCAGCAGAGGCAAAAGGGCTCATATTGCAGCTTTTGTGATCAGCTGGTCCTTGGCATAGCCATGGGGGCTGTACCCTAGACCCTGTGAGGGCCTGCCTATAATAAAACCTACGGGCACCAGGCACTGCGGAGGTAGTTTCTAGATACCTTGTGTAACATGTGAGGCGCTCAGAGGGATTTACAGGTCCTGACCTCCCTTCAATGGAAAAAAACTCAAACTTTCCACTCCCTTATTCCGACTACACAGTCCAGGAACCAACCTATCCTCTGTTTTTGCACAAGGGTTTCTGGCTTAATGGTATTCTCTTTCAAAGCAGTTTCACATGCCAATTCACTCCAGACAATTGCAGCTCAACGATCTGGCTATGTGAGCCAAGAAAGCTCAGTCTTTGGGCCATTGCATATGCCTGACCCCCAAGACCAGGCTTGCCCTGGCCTTTTAGCTCACAAGTCTGACTCCAGAGTTAGGGAAATCCTTTCACCTACTGGTCTGGAAGCTTTTTATGTTGGATGTCATCCTGTAGGGATGGGGAGGAATCCTGAAAATTCTCTCAGTGCAAGAGACTTGGTCACCATAGGAAGCTCCTCAGCACTCTGGAGTTCAGTGCAATCAATGTCTGGAGAATAGTCAATTCACCTGGAGGTGTTTCAAGACCTTTGTCACAGATGGGATACACTGAACGTGGACCTCCTGGCTTCCAGGTTCAACAACAAACTGACTCAGTTTGTCTCCAGGTCCAGGGATCCTCTATGTATCACATTGGATTTTCTAGTGACTGTGGGATCAGTTTATCTTGATCAACACCTTTCCTCTTTTGAAATTTCTGCTCCACAGGATCAAGGTGGAGGGCTTTCTGGTAATTCTCATAGCACCAAACTGGCCCAGGTGGACCTGGTACTCATACCTCATCAGACTCCTGGCACACTCTCCATAGGCCCCCCCAGACCATCAGCTTTCGCTCCAGTTTTGGTAAATTATCCCCAGTGTCCATCAGTGCACTGTAATAATACTGGATTTTATAGGCTGAAATATCTGTGCCAGATAAATTTTAGGTTGTGTCTAGCTGATGTGCATGGGGTTGGCTGAGCACTATGAAAAAAACCTGCCAGCAAAGCAAAACAGGATTCACACTTTAAGTACACAGCATACTCCCAAATATTTTCATTCTTTAAAGGTATCTTAGTGCAGAATCTTTGCTTTTAGGAGCTCATTCATTTTTTTACTTTTTTGATATATTTAATAATTACCATCATTTTATATTTTGCTATGATCAAACAAGACCAAGATTCCGTCTTTTACCATTAGCCAGTAAAGAAAAAGGAATATACACTGTAGTGAGTCTCCTTTTCAGTCTACTTTTGATACGATTTACTAGTTTGAGTTGTGTATTAAATGTATTGGCTTGTATTTTCGGTGAAGCTTGTATCATAAAATATTGGGTTTCCATTACCTCTTTCTTCAGGTGAATGCATTATATATGCCTAAAGGTGTGTACAGAGTTGATATCAAGTCAACTTAAGTTAGCACAAGTATAACTAGCTGCATATAGGGAGCTATTTAGCTGTTTGACATGATTAACTGATGAGTGACATGCAGGAGAAAGGAAGTTTGTTCAATATGATGCTTGAGCGACAAATGGGCCAATTAACGCTACCTCCAGAAGGTGATAAGGTCGACAGTTCAAAATTCTTATATTTTTTTGGCTACAGTATTAGATTGACTTTTCAAGCATCCAGGTTTGTGAACAGGTGACTTTGTTAGTTCATCAAAGCTGCCCTAAAAACCACTTGTTTGCTGTAAGAATGCCTTGAATGAAAGGGCGAGGAAACCTCTGTCTTTCATAGGATGCTCCACTCTGGTATTTAAACTTGTTCCTTCAACGGGAATGCTCTCTTTGACACAAGGTCAGGAAGAGGGATGTAGGAAAGTCTGCATTCACAGACATGGGAGTGAACTGGCAAAGGTGACTAAGGAACCCCTGTGCCATTTTACAGATAGGGAAGCAAGAAATGATTAGCCTTACTGGACCCTGATTACCCCCTTGTACACCTTCAGGTACACCTAATGGTTGATATGCCTTGTGGAAGACATTGAATATTGGTCATGCTTCAGTCTGTTTATCACTGTGTTTGCAAAAGGTTTTTGGAGGTGAGAAGTCTCAGTTTGATACGTAGGACACACAAGGAATCAAAATGTTTATTGAAATCTCCCATTAATTAACCCTTATTGCCTACACACTGCAAAGCCGGTTATTTAAAATAAGTTTCTTTTAACATATATATTATTAATAGTAATTGTTAGCAGTATTATGAATGTTTGTTCTTACCATAAAATATAAAAATATTTTTAGGAATGTCTAGTTAGAATTCACCAAAGGCTGGACTGCTGGGGGATATAAACATTCGTACAATATACTGATAAGAACAATTATTTATATTATTTTTGTGTAATAAGCACAACATGAGTAATCCATTCCCATTTGAAAAGTATACTATTTTAGTACTTTAGTCATTTTGTATTCAGTATTTATTTGAACAAACTTTATAATTATGTATATATCTGTATTCTCAAAAGAGAACCTGTATCCAGGCATGTGTATGGCTAGAAAAGTAGTGCCCCAGGCATGTTTATCATAGATAAATTGACATTGCTTTCCTATCATATCTCAAAGTTGCACTCTTGTGCTTACCCTGAACAAAAAATCAGAAATAACTCTATTTGTATAATTTATTTTTCTTCAATAATTCACAAAACACATTTTTGCTTTCTAAATTTTATTCCAAACATGCACAAGTGTATAATTATGGCACAAAAAGGCAGTTTGTTCTTCCTTACAAAAACATGTGTAAATGTGTTATCTGTTCTCAATTCAATTTTTATAGTGCAGATTAGAAAACGATAGAAATACACATCACTGGATATTAGGAGAAAAAGAGGCACTTTCCATGTGAAGCTTACAGTCACTTTAACACACAAATATACATTCAGATTTCATCAAAATAAAACTACTGGACAGTTAAAAGGCCGGTCAAACCTAACGAAGCATTGCAACTTTAGATAAATGCTAATCCATCAAGTTCTTTTATCTCTTGCAGATTCTTTGGCAAGATCCCTGTGCTTGAGATTTCATATCACCTTAGTATAATCATACTTTAATATCTTGCTGTCCCCATTGCATTTTTCATTTCTTTTATATTACGGAGAAAGCAGGAGTAGAGGGCTCCATGGCAAGGTAGCAGTGCCAGGAACTCTGCTAGGGAGAGCTCTCCAGTGTAGCGCCCAAGCAATTTACAAAGTCACAGAGTAATTCGGCCAACCAGAAATCTAATAATGGGAATATAATTGATGGTGGCCCAACCCTTTAGCTGGATACATAAAGCTAACACCCTGCAATACATAAAATCAATATTTATAACAAAAACATATTGTATATGAAAAAAGAGATTTCATTTCCATTCATTGCATCACTAATTATCCAGTGTCATTTTACAGCCTTTAATTTCTTGCTCAGAAACGGCAAAACCCGTGCAAGTAAGCTACTTTGTGTTGGCAATGCTAGTTTAGCCGCATTACCCATAGCCCAGGCCCTGGACTGTGCTCCTAGCTCTTATTCCGCTGATGTAGAGATATTAGATCACAAGCAGATGTTCCATTTCTCATACTCTACTAGTATTTTGTGTGTACCTTTTTCATTGTCTCATCTTTGAGTTTATCTGCTGTAATCTGAAAAGATATTTCAGACTTGATACTAGTTATAGTGGTTAAATGTCTAATGAATCATATATTGTAAAGAGCCCATGCGAGTAAAGTAAATGTTTGAGATTTTAAAGAAAGAGATGTGGCCTTTCCATTTCATGTAATGAAGAATAGTATAAATAGTTTTTTCAGACTGAGGAGAGGTCAGGAACACCACAGCTTCAGACAAGTTCATTCCAGTAAGTTATTCTGGAGGATCGTATTTACTAGATGGTTTTATTCCACACGATCATTTAACTCATGGTTTACTGCTAAGTGGAGTTGGGTATACTGCACTTTCACAGTGGCTGGTGAACTTCAGTTTCCGTTATGCTGTGTCAATGGTCCTTCTGTGGGTATGGTTGGCAAAGCGTGTGGAGACCTGGGGACCACTAACTGCTAGAAAAATCAGCATGCCTATAACACCCCCATTGACGCAAGAGGTCTTGTAGCATTAAACCTCTGGTAAAATAAGATGTTCCAAGGGCAGGGAGAGGACAGCAGGTATGTCAAGTTGCTTTGCTTTAGAGAGTAAATGAGTAGGCTGTCAGTCAGGGGAAGGCTTGTGTTTCCCAGCTGTTGTGTCGATGTCTAATCTATGGTATTGCATGTCCTGGGCAGGCAAGCGTGGGCGGCGCAGCAGTGCAGGATCGCTAGACAGCAATATGGAAGTAAGTAGGATGCCTAGCTGGATGTGATATGCATTTGATACCTTTCCTTTCACTTGAACACTTTTTTGTTCCTCTGTATTCTGCTTGCCTCAGATATTGCATGCCTGGGATTCTCACTCTGTATCTTCCAAACGAGACAAACCAACCTTTTATGATTCTTTGGGGACACGACTGCTGCTTGTGGCTCTCTGTAATACTCCTACTGGCTCCTTGTAGCATGTCTCCACCACACACGACTGTCTGCTTCCTCACGGTGGCTCTGCACCACTCAGCTGGCTGCTAACACTCTCCCCTCACTATCTTATACTTCTAATGAAGCTCTTGACTGTCTCATGCCTATATGTCAGTTTGATAATGTTTATTATAATAAAGCTGTTTGTTAAGCACCTGTATTTACCAGGACGCAGAGATTGTACTTAGCTAGACAGATAAACCTTACTCTAAATAAGTAATTCAATGTGGATTTCATGAGATTTCATTCATCTTGAAACCATTAATTTACACTGATCATGTGTTCAGCCGCCTATCTCTGTGTGTTTGCCTCTGGTAACTTGTGTCCCATGACTGCCTAATGACTGTCCCTTTAAGCCCAGGCCTAGACATAGCTTTTGTAGGACTAGACCTAAAGCAAGTCTAATGAGTAGTAGATAGCCGCACATTTTTCCGAAGCTCAGGTGTGAAAAGTACGACTGTAACAGCTTGTTATGCATACAGCCGGAGCTGTTGATAGCTAGTATGACAGACAAGTGACATTTAGTGGATTTGTGTTAGATGTAGGTGTGTAGTTGGTTCTAGCAGTGGGTGTTTTAGTTTGTAATTTTAAGAAGCTAGTTGTATATTTTGTAATTTGTTTTTTTTATGCTTCCTTTTCAGGGGTCCATCATTAGCAGTCCTCATATGCGCAGACGAGCCACCTCAACTCGGGAATGTGCTTCTCGTCAAAGTATACCTAACTCTTCCTCCCTCTTAGGTTCTTTCTTCGGTAGTAAGAGGGGGAAGCCATCTTCCCAAGGCCACCTGTCTGGACCACCCCAGCAGCAGCACCCCACTTTGATTTCACACCAACAACATCCAACAAGTCATCATGCAGGACAAGCCGAGGGGCAAACACAGGCACAAGTGCACGCACAGCATTCACAGTATTGCCACATGCAGCAGAACCCACCACCGTATCACCACCTTCATCATTACCACCCTCCCCAGCACATCCAACCACATCAGTACCACCCACATGGACAGCATGCTTCGCACGCATCCTACGCACAACACCCTCACTCTAGCCATTCACACTCTGGGCACTCAGCACATTCCCAGCATGCACAGCATCATCAGCAGATTCCTTCTACGTCCACAAGCACGAAACCCAAACACAGTGGTATTAGCACAATAGTTTAGAGGTATCCTTTTAGCAGAACTTCCAGTGGGGAGTTAGATTAATAGAATTCCATCTCCTTAACATGTGAAAGCATACATAGCTTTCATGGTAACAAGGAGGTTTTCATGGTATCATGAAGGTATTAAGGAGACTGACCGTTATTTATTATTTAAGGACAAAATAGAAATAGCAAGAGGAACGGCCTAGTTGCTACATTATTAATAAGCAAAAACTCTAGCGCGGTTTATAATATTATATATCTAATAATCCTAGCTATACTGCGTGAGTGTACACAGATATCTAGTATCTTATTAATATACTGCGTGCGTGTACACATTAGTACCTTAAATAATTGTACATGAAGAAAGAACAAATATTTCTTTTTTTTCTCCAATTCTAGCAATATCGACTCACTAACATTTACACTTGACGTAGATTGTTGGAAAAGAAAATATATTAAAAAAGAGAATACAGTATTTTCCTAAAAAAAAAAAAAAAAAAAGCAATCCACAATTAAATGTGCCAATAACCATAGACATTTTTTTTTCTGTACCGGTCTTAGTTACTTTGCTTGTACAAAGGATAAATTATTCTTATGTCAAAAGATAATTATGATACAGATCAGTATTATGCTATTGCATTTCAGGTAATTGAGCTAGCTTAGGGAAAACCTGCAGTTTGTAATAGAACTGACGATAGATACACACACATACACACACACATACATACATACATACACACACACACACGCACCCTCTGACACTTTAATGGCTGTAAGAACTGTGAATTTTCATTATCTACCTTTTTATATGCATATATAAATATATATAAATATATATATACATGAGATTTGTAAACACATGGAAACTA